AAGCTCTTAATGTATAAAAAGGCGTACGCACTGTTTGAATGTCTGGCAAAGGATATAATCCGAGCCAAAGAGATTGAGGAGTTGTTTGTCAATTAGTTTGCGAGCAACTCCTCAGTTTTCCGTGTAGACATCGGTAGTAGAATAATCCTAACGTTGCCCTCTGCACATGTCGTAGAAGGCGACTAACAAGGAGGAAGGGTCGGTCAGGCTCGAGGATTAGATAGAATCCTCAGACTGATACTCGTACCTGAGTCTAATGGTACCACGGGGATCGGGTGCCCACTTGGACTTGTTTTTTTGCTCCGGCAAATTACTTGTCCTTGGCCGATCATTTGGTGTTGGACTCGTGGGAGCCGTGGTTAAAAGCTCGCCTCGCTTAGAGCAAGATGATGGAGAAGAAGCTGAATCAACGTGATCAGATTTATTCAAAATTGTCGACGTGTGAGTTGCGGTATAACCACTCGTGCAGGAACCTGCATAGTTCCTAGGGATTGGAAAGGTCCCGCCCTTTGTCGGGGGTCCGTGATGTCCTATCTAGACGACCGCAGAACGGCCGCTTTATTTTACAAAGTGGGAGTCAGTGCTTTAGAACGATGACTATGTTGAACGAATGTTTGAACGACGATATACAGTGAGAGTCACGAATCAATCTGCGAACTTCCGAAGAAAGAGATAAATTGAACGAGGATTTTTGTCCATAGGAGTCATACTGTTGGTATGGTTATACTCTTGTTTTTTCTTATTTGCCTCGGCGCCAATTGTTTCCGGACTTCCAGAGCTTTTTCTTCGTTTCTGCGCCTCTATAACTGCGCGCCTAAGTCGTCTTTCCAAACGGACCTGGGAAACCTTAAGAAACTGAGTGCCCACATGGTCCATCCTGCTTGCGGCATTGGATGCTGTAGAACTCAAGGTGTCCAATACTGCAGCACTGTTGTTACTGGATTTCGATGCTGGGAAGCCAACATGCTCACTTCCAGCAGCGCCGGCAATGGGGTATCCCCTGCACCGTAGACACCCTTATTAAATCCTTTTCTTTCCATATCTTTTTTTTATTACCTTACATCTTGGTTTTTGAATATCCTTTAGTGAAAAGCCCCACCACCACGACAAGGTCTATTATTATTATTGTTTATTATTATTATTTTTATTATTATTATTATTATTATTATTATTATTATTATTATTACTGTTTTTGATATTTATTTTTAATTTCTGTTAAAAAAATCAATTTGAAAAACAGTTTAATTTTTAATAATTCAGGGCATGTTTTTTTATTTGTTTTGTAAAATTCTCTTTTGAAGATTTTTTCTTTCTCTCTTTCTCTTTATAGAATATATATACAGTATCCCATCTGTAAACTACAAAACGCTTAGCATGGCAAAACGTTCGGTCACAGGTGTCGAGCAAAATCGTTCAACATTAGTGATATTCGTAGTCAAATATATGACATGATTTATGGGATCTATTATTTTTGCACAACGGTCACCTCGTCGCTATATTTGAAGATATTGCAAATATATGTTTAATGTTCAAAATATATATATATAGGATGTGTCATCAAAAAATCATAGTGCGAGTAATATCTGACCTCGCCCTTTTAATATTCAATTGTTTCGATTTATTTTGCAGCAAAAAATTTCTTAATTTTTAAATTCTCAATTTTATATTTGTTTTTTTAACACCAATACTTTTATATCTTTATTTAACAAATTTCATTGGAATCATTATTATATAGAAAAATAAGAGGCTGCAAATATCGAGATGAAGCTTTGAAATGAAGCTTTATAGATATATTTTCTATTTAAAGTACTTATTAAAGGAAAGTTTTACTTATAGATTATTACTTTTTTCCGACTTTTAATTACTGAAATTCAAATAAGCAATATCGTTGAATTTTTTTTCCTCTCTCTTTATTACTTATTGAATGGAAGAGAAAGAATTGCATTTTTTGAAAGCTGTAATTAAATATAATTTAATTTAAAAATACTTCTTTGTAATTTTGAAAATTCGAACATTTATAACAATTGTAACATTTGTGAATTTCAACATTAAACTATTTGAAATTTAACAATTAGAAGTTTAGAACAATTCTAACATTTGGAAATTAGAAGTTTAAATTTTGGAAATTCGAGCTTTTAACAATTCGAACTTTTTAATACATCCTCTCTTTACTGTGTTAATGGAAATTTGAACTAATATTTGTTGTTTATTCGTGCGTCTCTTTTATTGCTTGTTTATTATAAGATTCATTATAATAAATAATAATTTGAAATTTTGCACAATTATTAAAAGAGAGATTATTATTGGTGAAATTATTAATCTAAATGTATGACAAATAACTCTCTGTATTGTCTATTAAGTGTACACTATATACAATCAACGGTAATTGACTTTGGAAACTTCCTGCTCATACCCATTAATATTACTAGGCGATTAATAATGAGCGTGTATAGTTCATCAAACAGTGCGTGAATAGAACCAAAAACCTTTCACGGTGCGCCAGAAGGTGATTTAAATAAAAATGAATTGACACATAAAAATTCTTTTTGATTATGATTCTTAGATGAATAAAAAAAATTTCTCAATAGTTTTTAAAATCAGTTTACGTGCCCGATTTAAAAAAAAATTTATTTTTATATAAAAAAACAGTAATTTTATGGGGAATCAGAATTAATTTAATCTAATAAATACTGTAATAAATGATAAAATAATGACTTATTTTTAATTTTACATATAAATAATTATATTGCTGTAGTGTTTGTATCCGATTTTAAAAAATTAAATTATAATGTTAAAAGAACTATTTTAAGAGGGACAAAATTTATTTAAGAGAGTCGAATGGTCTCTGAAATTCTTTGGAAAGAAGAGACCTTTAATTATCGCCCTATAAAAACGGCACTAAACGTGAAAATGATAAACATTAATTTTAAAATACTTTCTTCTTGAAAGACGTACACTTTTTTACAAAAGCAGCTAGAGATTCTTATCTTATATAAATTTTCCTAAATCCGAAAGATTATGCGAATCCATACAAAAACACGATTGCAAAACGAAAAGTAATATAATGACAGGTTCATTACCTCCTGCCGCCGTCAGATGGCAGCAGCATGCAGGGCGCACAAAGTCGCAGCTGTTATTAGATTACTTTTCTACTTTTTGTTTTGCAACCATGTTTTTCTATGGATTCGTACCGTCTTTTGGATTTAGGAAATTTATAAGATGAGGATTTTGGCTGATTTTGTTAAAAGTGTTCGTGTTTCGAGAAAAAAGTATTTTAAAATCAATACTATTTCACGTTGAGAGCGATAATTAAAACTCTCTTCTTGCTAAAGAATTTCAGATACCTTTCGACACTCTTAATGCATAAATATAAAAACAAAACAAGAAAATAACTTCAATGTTAATAAATTTATATGAACCCAAATCTAAAACATCTATTATCTATACGCATATAGGTATACATTAAATAAATTCTGGTTCCTCATAAAACACTATTTTTAAATATTTAAAACTCGATTTGTTTTAAATTGGGCACGTAAGCTGATATTAAAACCTATTGAGAAAAGTTTTTTATTCATCTTAAAACCATAATCAAAAAGAATTTTTAAGTGCTAATTCATTTTTATTTAAACCTCCTTCTGGCGCACCGTGCTTTCCCTAAAATCGTATATAAATTATATCGCAATTACATTCGGTGTTTGAATTTCTTTTTTAATTTTCAAATATAATTCAATTGTTGGCATTGATTTATATTTATTACATTTCATATTACTACAATTATAATATATTATATAAAAAATAGTGGGTATATTATTTCTATTTTGTTGGTTTTAATTTTTATCTTTCCGGAGTGTAAAAAAAAATTCCATAAGAATAAGGGGAAAAATTAATGTCATTATTTTTCTTTTAAATGCGACAATACAACGAAAAGTCGTAAAAGCTCTTTTCTATTTTGCTGAGAAAAATAGGGGTCAGGACAATTGATTTTTTTTTAGGTAACAAATTCTCAAGAAACTCGAGGAAAACGAGTTGTTAAATTATTATTTAAACAACATTTTTTTTAATATTTATTATCTTTATTTTATATTTTACTTTCCAAAAAATATTTTATTATTATATTTTCAATCGTTTTAAATTTACCTCAATTTTAAATAAATTTGAAAGATTCCTAAGTTTGTAGATTTTTTTTTTATAATTACATTTTCTTTTTTCTAAATTAAAAATATAATTCATTAATAGAGATTGATTTAAAAAGTCTGTTAGAGAGCTAATACATCTGATGGTGAAAAGTTGAGACAAGTATTCTACTTTCGTTTAAATATTACATCAGTTTGAAAACTAGACTTGCAATCTAGTCCTATTTCAGAGAAAGTTGTGTAAAATTCATCAACCCTTGGCGCACAAGACGAGAGAGAGTCACTTATTCGTCAAGCACTCAACCACTATCAACGACTATATATGCAATAGTGGTAACAGCTATTACCTCTAAACTAGTTCTTTAAAATTTTATAAAACACTCTCTCTCTATGATTTTTTTTACGAACTAAATACTTTTTTATATAAAAACCGCTTCTGTTATATATATACCATTAAAGTGTAATTACTTGGATATTTAAAAGCCAATTTTCCTAATTTCTTAATGTAAAAATAAAAATTCGATTCGAAGTTATAAATTTCATAAATTACTAAAAAAAAAAGATAATAAAGAATTGTTATTTGATAGAACTTTTAAAACATCGAGTTTTTATTTAACAAAAATTGTAAATCACCAAACATAACCTACAAAAAAATATTTCAGCGCGATTTTTAAAATTGACCTATCAGAAATTAAGAAAATTATGATTGGTTTATTTTAAAATTCGTGTCAAAATCACTTTTGTAGGTTATGTTTGTTCGGTCATTTGCAATTTCGGACAAAATTAAAATTCGGCGTCTTAAGAATTCTATTAAATAAAAATTCGAAGTAATTAGAAAATTTTAAATTAAAACAAAAATTGTACCTTCTTTAACCAAGATAGCCATAGATCACGATCCCATGGATGATGAAAACCTAAATAAAGATGTCTTGTTTCGTCAAATGGCGCCTCGTCACTCTCATCATCATTCTCATCTTTGTTTTCCATTTGATTTGTGTGGCCACTTGTATTTTGCAATTGTTGTTGAACTATTCGCGGATATCCCGTTACTCTCAATACCAATTTCCCCAATCGTGAGGGTGCGTAACAAACTGCACCGCCATTGTCACCCAATTCAATCCATTCTGGCTTAGAATTCTGACATGCTGAAATAAACGAAAAACCAAACAAATTAGATTTCTCATTTTTCTCTCTTTGTTTTCTATTCACAAAAAATAGTTAATTCCGAAAATTGGGTAAAAAAAAAGTTTTTCAAACTTTTTCTATATGTGAAACTTTATAACAAGAGATTTTATAATTCAATATACGGAGCTTTCGAATTTTTCTATCTCTGAATTTTATTCCACTTTTTTTAAAAAAAAAATTTCTTTTTGTAAAAATTAAAAAAAAAAAATTCTTCTATTTATCATCCTCGAGGAAAAATTGTTATTGAAAAAAGGCTAATTTTCAATACGAAATGTAAACTTTTGAAAAATAAATATTTATGTTATAAATTTTGGATTCGATAAAAGAGCGATAAATTTTTTTTATTAATTTTTTTTCGAAAATGTAAACCCTTGATGATACAATATACTAATTGGAATTTTTTTATATTGGAAAAATTTACTCTATTGAAAATGATTTAATTTTATTTTATTTGGAGTAGAATAAAAATGTTGAATAATAAACTAAAATCATTTTAAATAAAAAAAAAAATTTTTACAAACATAAAAATATGACTAAAAATATCATTCAATATAATTATCTTCCTATTTTTTCCTTCCACAAAAAAAACGTTAAATTTCAGCCTCCTACAGTGGTGTAACCCGTTAATGAATTTTATATAAAAAATAATTTAAAAAACAATTATAACAGAAATTGTAAAACGTTTTTTTTTTTGAATTATTAAAATTTTACTAATTATTAGTAACTTTTAATAACAATTAGTAGAATTTAAGTAATTCTAAAGCAAAAAGTGAGTCACTAATTCAAATTAGTAAACATTTTTACTAATTTAGATTTAGAGAGAAACTAAGAAATTAACTATTAACTAATTAACTAAAAATTAACATTATTAACAATTATAGTAAAAAAATTTTAAATATATTTGAAATATGGAATAATCTTCCTCACTTTAAAAATGTTATCCCAACAATTTAAAATTTTTTTCCGAATTATTGGATGAAAAACAACTCAAAAATTGTTTTTAAAATCATAATTATAATTATTTAATAATTTTTATGGTTGAAATTCTATTTATGTTGCATTACATAATAGTGTAAATAAATAAATTACTACTGACCGTAATTTAGTGCCTAAATTATATTCGACAGTGTTAAAGGGAAAATATTAAACATTAATTTGCATATAATATGCCATGTAAACAAGAATTATTGATCGCAAAACCAAATTTGCTGGTCGCATGTATTTGATTTAAAAAAAAAAATTTAATTATATAGTGAAATACAGAATTATTAATAGTATTCTCCCTCTCACTCTCGCCGAAGAAATGCTTATTTAACCCGAGCCATTTCTCACATTCTAAATAATTTCACAAAATTTCGCCTCTCCAAAACAGAGTAAGAGAAATAGGCAGGGAAAAGTTATTATTCTTGTTATTCATGAAATAATGAAGAATGTTTTAATTAAAATATAAAATCAACATTTACAAATATTTCCGTCACACTAAAATTATGAGAATTTTTTATAATATTGCTTCCTTCTTATATAGAAGGAATTATTATTTCGTATATATATATATATAAAATAGTTGAAATTAATTTTTAAACTTTTGTATTATGAAACATGTGACGTGAAGGATTAACAAGAAAGTGACTAATTGCCCGGTACCCTCTACTGGCTTCCGCAGCGTTACTATAGGGATAATTAAAAGTTTTAGAAATTCCCTTAGGGTACTCCATTTTCACCATTGTCACAGTTTCTTCAATTTTTTTTTTTTTTTTTTTACTTTTCCTCGCGAAAATTCTCCCAACTTTTCGCAATATTGATTTTGTATTTTGTGAATGTACACTGGAAAAAAATAGTATTGAATCAAAAAAATTTTACTTGCTTCAAGTAAACCGTGGAATTGAATAGGGACAAGTCAATTACGGCATTGGTTCAAGTAAACGATTGTCTTGAGATAGTATATTTGGGACGAGAGCATATATTCTTGATCCAAGAAAATATGAAATTCGAGCAATATATATTAATCAACTTGTAACAAATGTAAAATACATTAAAGGAAGAAAATATTTTCTTGTTCTGAGAATATATGTAGTCAAATCAATTGTTTCATTTGATTCATTCAAATCTTTGCAATATTGGATCAAGTAAGACAAGATTGAAATCAAAATATTATTTATTAGATCATATATATATTAACTCAAGAAAATATTTTCTTGACTTGAGAAAACTTATGGAGTTGAATCAAAAAAATATTTTTCCAATACAAGTAAATATTTACTTGAATTTACCCCCCCCCCCCCCTCCTTATTCCACCATGTCTAATTCTTAAGTCAAACATTTTTATTTATTATTAACATTGATATTTTTTATTATTTAATTAAATAATGTTTATTTTACATACATATTTATATTTAATTAATACTTAACACAACTAAAACAAGTATACCTTGAATGAAAATTTTTCACTGTCCAAGGAACTGAACCCAAGTTGCGCGCACCAAAGGCAGTAACTTAATTGATGGTTTTCAAAAACTCCTATTTAAGTTTCACATCCATTTGGAGAGAAATATTTTCTTGGATCAAGAATACGGGATTTGTATTTATTTCTATTAATCTTTCCATTTTCTTGGATCAAGACTATGAGTATTAGATTAAGTAAAAAGTTGTTTTGAAGAAAACAACAAAACAATTTGACCCAAGGAAAATAAAATACTCAACGTAAATGACTTGACATGAGAAAATAATATTCTTGACTCAATTCTTTTTTTGTTCTTGACGCAAGTAAAACATTTCGCTTAAAACAGTAAGATATATTTACTTGTATGAAACTCATATTTTCTTATTTCAAGAACGTTTGCTCAATGCTCAAAATTACTTGACTCAAGAAAATAAATTTCTTAAAATAAGAAAATATCGTCTTGTTTCAAGTAAAGTACCTCAAGTAAATGCATTAACTTGATTCAATTAACTTTTTTTCAGTGTATAGAAAAAAATGTTCTATAAGAGAAAATGGCATAAAAGGAGGAGGGCCCCTAAGGCCTATATTTCGCCCCCTTGGGATTTTAATTTAAATGGTTGAAAACTTTTTCTTATAGTAGAAAAAGTAATTTTTCATTGATTTTAGGTGAAAGGGGGGTGTTTTGGTCAAATTAACCCTTAGATTTTAGGGTTTTTGTTTTCAAAAAGAGTGTCAAAAAAACATGCAAAAAAAATTTCCCAAATGTTGAGCAATTAACTTGAAAACCGTTGCTCGGGGGGTTTCGGGGTCGCTGATTACGAATTCGACGTTAGTTTTTCAAAATTCAAAATGGCGGATCCAATATGGCGGATGACTTTTTGAAAATCTAATATTATTGGCCTGAAAATTGTAACTCGGGGGTTTTCGGGGTCGCTGATTACGAATCCGAGGTCAGTTTTTTAAAATTCAAAATGGCGGATCCAATATGGCGGAATTTTTTTAAAAAATCGTTTGGATTTGCTTGAAACTCTCTACTCGGGGGTTTTTGGGGTCACTGATTACGAATCTGAGGTCAGTTTTTTAAAATTCAAAATGGCGGATCCAATATGGCGGACTTTTTTTTAAAAATCGTTCGGATTTGCTTGAAACTCTTTACTCGGGGGTTTTTGGGGTCGCTGAAAATGAATCCGGAGTTAGATTTTCAAAATTCAAAACGGCGGATACAATATGGCGGACAAATATTTAAAATCACTGGAAACTACTTACTTCAGACGAATATAATAAGTTTTTTCAAAAGTTGTCCGCCATATTGGATCCGCCATTTTGAATTTTAAGAAACTGACCTCCGATTCGTAATCAGCGACCCCGAAAACCCCCGAGTTACAATTTTCAGGCCAATAATATTAGATTTTCAAAAAGTCATCCGCCATTTTGAATTTTGAAAAACTAACGTCGGAGCAACGGTTTTCAAATCAATTGCTCAACATTTGGAAAATTTTTTTTGCATGTTTTTTTGACACTCTTTTTGAAAACAAAAACCCTAAAATCTAAGAGTTAATTTGACCAAAACACCCCCTTTTCACCTAAAATCAATGAAAAATTACTTTTTCTACTATAAGAAAAAGTTTTCAACCATTTAAATTAAAATCCCAAGGGGGCGAAATATAGGCCTTAGGGGCCCTCCTCCTTTAATTTTTTTTATTGGAACTGTAAAAAGTGTAATTATATAAATAAAATAAACTAATTTTGTAAGAGATATATCTCAAAATTATATATACATATATACGTATTAAAAGGGAAACATGAAAATCCATATCACACTTTGTTGGCTAACCAGCTATTCGATAATTAAAACCACAATTCCTGTTAGTTTCAATTAGAAATTGCTCTTTGCACACACTACGTTTCGTAGACTCTGATCTGTATAACGAATTTCGTGGTTTTGCTTTATATCTGTTGGAATCTAAACGAAGCTTCGATTAACTTGCTTTGGTTAGTGTATATATGTCCAAGTCGTGAATTATTCTATCTTTATAGGAATTTACAGAAAACAAGATACAATTATTCTTATTATTTGTCATCTCAAATTGTAATTAGCACCATTTTTTAAAGAACATAAAATCCTAATTATTTTCCAATTTTTCTTTTCAAAAAAAAAAAAAGGGAAATCGCAAAATTTATGTGAAAAAAAGAGACTTACCAGGATAGAGAAAAAGTCGAGAACCAATGACAGCGAGGACTCGTCTTTTCCATTGTGGAAAAACCAACCCCTTTAATATCAGAACGTAACCACAATGGCTATATCCGGTTAAATCGTTTAGTGGCGCTGAGGGACCTGCAAAAAAAAAGGGAATAGAATAAAGATTTTCATATTAGTGATATGAAAATTAGAATAATATTTAATTTGTGTTGATGAAAATTTAGTTTTACTACTTTTAGTAGAATTAACTGAAATAAAAATTGTATTGTCTGACAAACAGATTTACTACTAATAAAATAAAAAAGTAATTTCAAGTCTGACAGAAATTGAGTTTTACTACTGACAATAAAATTACGTAAACATTTTAAAAATTCTGACTGTAACTGACTTTTACTCCTGTTATACCAAAATTAATACAGTTTAACAACCCAGATAGCACGTAACCTTGCAGCAACCTTGCGGCAAGCTTACCGCGCAATATTGCCAACCTTGCACGGCAAACTTTCCGCAAGCTTACTGCAAACTTCAAAGGAGACGAAAGCTAGCATAGTAAGATTACCAAAAGATTGCAGTGTAAGGTTACTAAAATATTGCACAATAAGATTATCGCAAGATTACTCAGTAAGCTTGCACGATAAGCTTGTAGCAAGGTTGGTGCAAGGTTTAAAGCAAGGTTATTTGGCAACCTTGCACCAATCTTGCTTCAAGCTTACTGAGCAATCTTGCGATAATCTTATTGTGGAATCTTGCAGTAACCTTACACTGCAATCTTTCGGTAAGCTTACCATGAAAACTTGGGTCAGGTGGGACATTTGAAGTTTGCAGTAAGCTTGCGGCAAGTTTGCCGTGCAAGGTTGGCAATATTGCGCAACAAGCTTGCCGCAAGGTTGGTGCAAGGTTTAAATCAAGGATGTTTGGCAACCTTGCACCAATCTTGCTTCAAGCTTACTGAGCAATCTGGCGATAATCTTATTGTGCAATCTTGCAGTAACCTTACACTGCAATCTTTCGGTAAGCTTACCATGAAAACTTGGGTCAGGTGGGACATTTGAAGTTTGCAGTAAGCTTGCGGCAAGTTTGCCGTGCAAGGTTGGCAATATTGCGCAACAAGCTTGCCGCAAGGTTGGTGCAAGGTTTAAATCAAGGATGTTTGGCAACCTTGCACCAATCTTGCTTCAAGCTTACTGAGCAATCTGGCGATAATCTTATTGTGCAATCTTGCAGTAACCTTACACTGCAATCTTTCGGTAAGCTTACCATGAAAACTTGGGTCAGGTGGGACATTTGAAGTTTGCAGTAAGCTTGCGGCAAGTTTGCCGTGCAAGGTTGGCAATATTGCGCAACAAGCTTGCCGCAAGGTTGGTGCAAGGTTTAAAGCAAGGTTGTTTGGCAACCTTGCACCAATCTTGCTTCAAGGTTACTGAGCAATCTTGCGATAATCTTATTGTGCAATCTTACAGTAACCTTACACTGCAATCTTTCGGTAAGCTTACCATGAAGACTTGGGTCAGGTGGGACATTTGAAGTTTGCCGTAAGCTTGCGGCAAGTTTGCCGTGCAAGGTTGGCAATATTGCGTAACAAGCTTGCCGCAAGGTTGCTGCAAGCTTACGTGCTATCAGGAAATATTCTCTTCTTCCGCTAAAAAGCAAAAATAAAATTGTGATCACGTTTTTCAAGGAACAACGACATTAGTTTATTTTGCTCACGTATTGATTCATTTCACATATCGAATATACAAAACGGTAACAATTTACATCATCGGGGTATTAACCGCATAACCCAATTATGGATATAATCTTGTTCCAATTATGTATTTGTCAATTGTGTGTAGGTAATTTCGAGAACCGCCAATAAACCCAAAGGAACATTTGATATTCTCTACTGCATCCGGCAATAATATTCGATCCGTTGCATTAATCTAAATTCTATTTTATTGTCGTGTATATTACTTTTTTTCTTGTATCTTTTGTTTTGTTCAAATAAAGATAATAATTTAATCTGTAGGTTAAAATATTTATTATTATAACAACGAACATTTATTTATTGTAATATAAAATAATTAATTAATTAAATTATAATAATGAATATTTATTATCGCAAAAAAATATTTAAATATTAAAAAATAAATTAATTACTTTTTTGTTAAAAAAATTTTGGATTTTTAATCTTATCTTATAAATTTTTTTGTAAAAAAATTGTTATTATAAAATTGAATTTTTTACTAGGGAGAAAATTCTTTCAATGGTTTATTATAGTGATGAGACACATTTTGTCAATAATATTATAAAGATTATTTTGAAAATAATTTTTATAAATGCGCGAGAAATATCTTCAATGTTTTATTCGCGCCAATTTTCATAGTGATTTCTGATTCAGCTTTGTTCTAACTTGGAATATCAAGTAGGGACGCCATTACATTAATAACGACTTTAGCTTGCCCAGCAAACTACGCTTTAACGCTTCTCATCCTCTGTCTCAATTTTCAGGGATTTTCATTCATATATAGTGAGCGCGAATTTAGTGCTTTATTAATTGGTCACGCTTGTAATATGATTAAGCCCTCAAAACTTTGTCAAGTGGACATTATCAAATAAAATAATGTAAATTTTCCGAAATATTATTATTGGTTATTATAAATAAAATTATTAATTTTTAATAATTATTATTATAATAATATAATAATATAATAATAATGATAATAATAACAATATAATAAAAATATTGCTATAAAATTATTATAATTATATATGTGTCTTTGACACGGTGAAAGGGACCTTACGGTAAACTAAATTTTAGGTTATGTTTACTGATTTTGATTTTCCATAATTAAAAATAAACGTTTAATTATGGTAAAACTAAACATAACCTAAAATTAGGTTATAACTAAATAACTAAATTCTAGGTTATGTTTACTGATTTTGATTTTCCATAATTAAAAATAAACTTTTAATTATAGTAAAACTAAACATAACCTAAAATTTAGTTTATCGTAAGGTCCCTTTCAGGATATATATAAATAATTATCATTATCAATTATAAATTAATTGTTTGTTACAAAAATTCATTTTCCAAATAATAAAAAATGAATTCCCGTTTGTTTTTAATTAAAGTTATATCAATCTTTTATTTTTCATACTTTTTGGAGCTTCGTATATGTATGTAAATAGCGGAAAGTAAAATAAATTTTTTCCAATTAGTAATGAAATATTACAGAGCTGTTAAATTGAAAGTAAATTTATATTTATTTTCTATATTTAAAAGTTCTTCTCGAGTTAAAAATCGTTGTAATTATATATAAAAAAAAATTGTTTTCTTTATTTTTAAATATTAAAATATTCTCTTCAATTTATAATTTTGTGTTTGAATAACTTATTATCTATTAATTAAAAATTTTTTTATATTTAATGTAAACACCCAGAATTCTTTGTTTCACAGAAACTTTCTTTAAATCAAAGAAATAGTTGCTATAGGGTTAAAGAAAAATTTCTTTGATTTTACAAAAATTTTTATTTAAATCAAAGAAATTTTTTTAAGTTAAAAATATCATTAAAATAAAAAATTTCTTTGATTCAAAATACTTTAAATTTTTGTTTCTTTTAAAAGCAAAGAAATTTTTTTAGGTTAAAAATATCATTAAAATAAAAAATTTCTTTGATTCAAAATACTTTAAATTTTTGTTTCTTGTAAAAGCAAAGAAAACTTTTTTTTAATTGAAATAAATTTCATCTTTGATTTAAAAAGTGATTTTGAAAAAAAGATTTCTTTGTTTTAAAGAAATCTTTTTTTTAATGTAAAATTTAATGAAATTGATATTGTGTTAAAAACTAGTTATGTATATTTTAAAAGATAAATTTTCATGAAAGTTTCTATTTGAAAATTTAAATAATTTTTGTTAGGGAACATGTAAATGAAGGTTCACGTAATCGTAATGTGATTGTCAGCGCATCAATGAGCAATTTGAGGCCTTCCGAGTGCGGCGCGTTTCTAACCACGCGAACTCGACTCTCCATCTCTCTATCTCTCTTAGTCTCTCTTCTCTCTCTCTCTCTCTCTCTCGCCAGTTCCATTACACAATTTACCTAACTCTGTTCAAGTGTTAACTTCTCTTGAACTTTGTCACTATTTTAGGAATATGCGCAGAGTTTATATGTCTGAAATCTAGCACTAAGGGGACGGTTACATTATTCTCATTATTATGATTAATAACATGCTTTTATCTCTTTCTTGAATATTATTACCGCAACGATAAGGGAATATAAATATTTTCTCTTATTTTAAATATTATTATATTTAAATAAAAAATATTATTTTTTAATTTTTTTTTAAATATTTTTTTTTCTTCTTTAATAGGAAAATATTTAAATTATTAATTATAAAATTTATTGTAACATTAAATATAACGAAATTGCATTTTTTTATGTTTTCGAGCCAACGAGACCAATTGTCATTTTGACCTAGAGTGCGAGAATTGTAGAGGCCTGGGAATTAACTTCACCGTCGTAAACAAAGTTAGTACATTTTCGAAATCACTTTTTGAATTACAGGAATTTTTTAATTTCGACAGAAATCAATTTTTGTTACTTTTTACATAATTAGTAGAAATTTTAATTTGCAATGTCTGACTAAAATTTTCTGTTACTACTAATAGAAAATTTGAAAAGTCTGACTAAAACGAACTTTTACTACTCTGATCAATTATTTAATTTTGCTACTGATCCATGAATTTTAAAAATCTGACTAATACCGACCAATATTAGGTAAAAAATAGAAGAAAAACCCGTCTGACTGAAACTGACTTTTACTACTGATACCAAAAATTATTCACATGTAAAAAAATAAATAAGACCTTAGAAATAAATTTTATGAATTAAACTAATATTATATATTTTTTTTAAAAATTTAAAAAACATTAAAATTTTAAAATTTCTATTTTAAAGAATTTTATTAGATATAATTATTTTTGACCGAACAAACAATCGATTTCGGCGCGATGTTTAAAATTCACCAATCAAAAATTATCAAAAAAATCTTAATTGGTCAATTTTAAAAATCGCGCCGAAATCGATATTGTTCTTTACAAATTCTCTACACAATGAAAATTCGATACATAAGAATTTTGCAAAGTAAAAATTTGTTCAAAAAGAAATTCTTTACAAATGTTTATTCAAAAAATGAAAATTTGTCTAAATAATAATCATATCTAATAAAATTGTTGAAAATTCTAATTAATGATTTTTATGAAATAATCATGCGCCCCATTTTTTTTTAAGTGAGAAATTTTGTCTGACTTTAACGGTATTTTACTAGTGAATTTTTTTTTATATGTCACACAAGAAAAATGTAAAAGTTTTCTCCTTGTCGATGTGAAATGGCGAGAATTAACTTTCAGTGTTACGTTCTGAACCATCCTTTAGTTACGTACACACACTCACAAGGCATTTCGCCTCTCTTTTAGATTGGTTTTTGAGATACACTCCAGGTTCGCAAAGTTTACAAGTTCCGATCTCACTCAGTCTCTCTCTCTCTTTCTCTTTTCCTCTCTTTTATATTATTTCGCTTGTCGAAAGTCCAACGTCTCAAGTATCTTGGTAACTTTGTAAATCAGTTTTCTTTCTCTAATTTAGTTTTCCACAAAAATCGTTTCCTTTTAATTGTTTGAAAAAGAAAATTGATTCAAATAATAATTATTCCTATTTATAGATCATTTCGAATTTTAGTTAATTTAGCCAACACAGAAAATTATAAGGTATTAAAACAATAACCCAATGGGAAACTGCCACGAGTAACCATTGGCGTATATTAATTGGCCCAATGATGGGAGCCAATGAAAAAACCATTGGCACCCAATAATGGACCATTATTGGTAAATTCATGGGCTGTCCATGCCGATGCCAATGATTGGCAACCATCATTGGCAAAATATTGTCAACCAATAATTAGCCAATATTAAAAATTTTAATAATAATTTAAAAAATCAATTTTTTTAAAAAAAAATTTTATTAATTTTTAATAATTATTATTATTATTTTATTTTTAATAATTAAATTAAAATAAAAAAATGATCATCAAAGTATTAGTGAAACCATTTCTTCCAAAAAAGAGTTTGTCTCAAATCCAATAAATAGGAGAGACATCGGGCAGAAAAAAATTTCGATAAGAAAAAAAATTTCGATCACTGCTTATATACCAATCTAATAGCACCTCAACTGCGAGAAACAGTTATGATGTTCGCCCTCTCTGTGGCGTTGAACGAATTAAAGTCCAGAGCTGAGCCATCAGTGCAGCGCGGGAACATTTGAAAAATTTGATTTTATATTAGATATTTTATTTTATTTTAAATATGACAAATAATTAACTTAATAAATAATCAATGTCATAAATAATTATTAATAACATAATGTTATACTTAATAATTCGTTAATTATAAAATAAAATATCTAATAAAATCAAATTTTTCAAATGTTCCCGCACTGCGCTGATGGCTCAGCTCTGGACTTTAGTTCGTTCAACGCCACAGGGAGGGCGAATATCATAACTGTTTCTCGCAGTTGAGGTGCCATTAGATTGGTATATAAGCAGTGATCGAAAATTTTTTTCTTGTTGAAATTTTTTTTTTGCTCTCATCGGCGTGGACAGACCATGACTTTACCAATAATGGTCCATTATTGGGTGCCATTATTGAAATTATATTGGCATCCCTAGCTCCCATTATTGGGCCATAATTACGCCAATGGTATTTTTCCCATTGGGAAGCGTTGCAACTTATTTTAATGCCTTTTAATTTTCTGTGAAAATATTGTCAAATAAATTTTTTTTCAATTTTTTTTTTATTATTACTTGTAATTAATTTTAATTATTTTTCTTTTACAATTTTTTTTATTTTAATTTTAATTTTTTACTTTTTAATAAACTTTAGTAGTTTATTTATTTAATTTTCTTTATTGTATTTTAAATTTTGAAATTGAAATTTCTGGGAAATACACATTTGCATATATATTAATATTTCATAAAGTTTCGTCGCCTTTATAATTTTACGTCTGACTGTGACTGACTTTTACTACTGATACCAAAATTACGTGAAATTCAAAAACTTCGGTCTAAATTTTACATTTATTTTTATTTTTAAAATTATATATAGAAATTCAACCTTGCTGTCTGACTGTAAGTGTATTTTACTACTGCGAGAGAAGATTTAGAAAAAAATTAAATTGACTACAACTGACTTTTACGACTCAAACAAAAATTACAGTTGAAAAGTCTGCCTTTAACTGTTTTTTTACTACTGAGACAAAAAAATACAAGAATATTTCCCAAAAAAAAAGTCTGACTGTAAATATCTTTTACTACTGAGACAAAAAAATTGATAAAAAATTTTTAAAGACTAACTATAACTTACTTTTACTACTCGGTTAAAAAATTATAAAAATATTTTTAAAAGTCTGACTGTAACTGATCTTTACTACTTATATAAAAATTTGTAAAAAATTTAGAAAGGCTGACTGCAATGTACTTTTACTACTGGGACAAAAGAAATTCTTAAATTTGAAATGCCTGACTGTAACTGTTTTTTGCTACTAATATAAGACAAAAATTTAGAAAGGCTGACTACAACTTACTTATACTACTAATATAAAAATCTCAAAAAATTAATGTCTGACTTAAATTGTCTTTTACTACTAAGAAAAGAAATTCTATTTAAAACGCTGAGTACAACTATTTTTTAACTTTAAATTTTATTAATTTCATTTATTCAAATTTTTTTCTTTATTGTATTTTAATTTCGAAAATGAAATTTGTGGGAAATACACTTTTACATACCTATATATATATATATATATATATATATATATATATATATTTATTAATATTTCATAAAGTTTCGTCGCCTTTATAATTATACGATGGAAGGAACAACATAAAAGAATATCACAAAAAGCATCTTTGAAAGTTTCTTTTATAGTCGGTATGAGGTTTCCTTTTCAAGTTGAGCTTTTCAAAGTTATTGTCGAGTATTGTTTTTACAATATCTCCTTTTCTTGGTGAAACGCGATATAATATTTCTTTTTATCTCTTGATCAGCTTTTCTCTGTTAAAAAGAGGGGAAAGCACAAAATAATTGTACAGTGATTCAATATATATATAGCTATATATTGGATTTAATGGCCACTAATGACTAGTGTATATAGGTCTCGCTTTTTATCTCCAGATCTCATAAATATGGTAGTTAAAATTTTACCCATTTCACTTTAAAAAGGAGTTAATTTTATTTATACTGTTAAATACCGAGTGTTCAATTTACATATACTACTTGTATTTTTTATTTTATCCACATTTTCTTTTTTAAAATACAAATACGTTATATTCTGAATATTTCAAATTTTCCCACTGAAGACTATTTTATCCATATTTAATTTTTGGTATATCGATTTTTTGCCATATCGAGGTACTACATAACCTAAAAATGTGAGTTGATTCCAAAAAGTTACCCAATTTTACTCTACTTTCCCCTATAAAAGGTTAGAAGTATTGTTTCTGGCCACAACACCAGTTGTGGACACTTTCAGATTAATGTTGGTATTATTGAATTTCCTAAAGTTATCATATATTATATAGGGACATTTGTAGAATTAACATAAGTTGGCAACACTGTTCACTTGGTTGATTAGCTTCCATTGTCCTCACTCGTCATTTGTCATAATTCTCGTCAACTACCGCACCCTGCTCTAGTTAAAATTTTAGTAACTTTATAGTAACTTTTAATTTTAACAATCACTAAATTTTCACTAGAGCAGGGTGCGGTAGTTGACGAGAATTTTGACAAATAGCGACTGGGGACAATGGAAACTAACCAACTAAACTTTTGTCAAAAGCAAGTGAACAGTGTTGCCAACTTGTATCAGAATTCTATAAATGTCCCTATATAATAAATAGTAATAACTACAGCTCTTTCTCTTCTATACATAAGTCAAGGTTAAATATCTATATAAAAACATTAATTTTGAAAAAACTAACCTCAAATATTAAAAAAAAGCCTCTGGACAAAAGTGGTATGGCAAATATATTAAAAAAAACACCATTTTTGTCCACTCTATTTTATAGGTTAAATATTAATTTGGTAATTTGTTGCGTTATAATTTTTATAGTGAATAAATTTGTCACCAAAAAAAAAATAAATGAGAATTTTCATTTTTCTGTCAATATATAACAAAAAGCAAGAATGCATTTAATAAACGAATTGTTTAATTAAAATTTTAATTATTCGCTACAATTACATGCGACAATGGTTTTCTAGTAATAATGAAATATGCAATTGTATGCGCGATTTATTCGTATTCGATGACGCAAATATTTCACTATTAATTAACGTAAATAAAAATAAATTAATAGAAAGTATAAAATTGTTTATAATTAAATTACAACAATAAAAAAAATCAAAAAACATTTCATTTTGAAAATTTGATATATTTAAAATTTTCGAAAATGTGAAATATTCTCGCATATATAATTTGTGGACAGTTTCTGTCGAGTAATTTCTTTTGTCTGACTAAAGCAATTCGTTTCTACTGAAATCCTTTAAGCGGTGCACTTACGTTATTTCTGAACCATTTCTTCTTCTTTTCATTTAAAGAAACGTGAACGTTTTAAAATTAATATTATTTATACACTTTTGAGAGGCGGAATTTTTTTTTTTTTACCTTCTTTTGAGAATCTGCAATTTTGTTTTTTCTTTGTTTTTTTTTTGAGAAAGAGAAGAATGTGTTTCTTGAACTTTTTCACGTTTACTACTCGCAGCATCTACTCTTGACTTACATAAAGTTTTATTGCGACTCCGTTAGGAATAACGTATTCCCTTTAAGATTGCTGTTTTTTTGTACTAGATGCATACAAAATTACCTTTTTACAATTTACACATACACACATATATATATATATATATATATATATATATATATAAACCCCTGTTTTACAATTATTTTTTTTTTGTTATTTTTAAATTGAAACTTAAATCTTACCGACATGAAATGAGATTAAATGACGTAGTTCGGGATCTACACCGAGACGAGCTCTTCTTGATGATTCTTCATAGCCAAGACTTTGTAAAAAGGCATCTTGAAGATCGAGAGGTTTCTCTTGAGGCGATAATCTTCTTCCCGGCTCTCCACCATACTGAAAAATTTAATAATAAATTAATTTATTTATAATTATTGTTAATTAAATTTTTTTTAAATATTGTTTCAATAATTTTTATATTTTCTATTTATAATTATAATTTAATCCAATTTTATCGAAATGAAAAATTGAAAAGAATCAATTTTTTATTTATATTTAAAAAAAAACTATAAATAAAGATAAAGAGAATTTGTTTTTGTAAAAATATCGAAGGTTAAAAAAATAAAGTAATATTCTTTTATTTATTGAGGCTTTTGAGCTATATATATATTGTTGACTATAAATTAACGCGCGATAAGAATTATTTAAATGGGGTTAATAATTATTTTTAATTATTGTGAAACTAACTTAAAAACAACTATTAGAATTGTATTATTATTAATATAATAAAATAATAATCATTATAAATATTATTAGTATAATTATTATTTCTATTATTTTATTATTATTATTTTTTGTATTATTATTATTATTATTATTATTATTATTATTATTATTATTATTATTATTATTATTATTATTATTATCATAGTGACAGAATAGAAATAAAAATAAAAATAGAAAATTGATACATAAATTTTAGAAAATTGTTGTACTACCAAGATAATAGTATTTAAATAGCGTAGAAATTTTTTTTTTTTAACACTCTAAACAAAAACTTTTAAGTCACGAATTTGTTACAATCATGAAAGTTTATTCAGCATTTTTGATGACAGTAGCATTACTCGTCTGTTGGACTACAATTGGACAGGCTTCTTTAGTTGCATGTAAGCATCAAAATTATATTTAATTCATGAGATATATAAAATTAAAATATTTAGATTTCATTTTTAAATAAAAGAAAATTTTTTTTTTGCAATCGAAATTTATAAACTATTGTTATTTTTAGTAAGGAAAAAACGTAACGTTGCACCACTTCCATATTAGTGAAAAAGGATCATCAAATGTTTTGTATATTCTAAAAATTAATTCGACAATATTGATATGGTTTGTGCTAAATATTTTAATATATTAATATTAAAAAAAAGAAGTAAATGAAAACTAATGTAATTAATAATTAAAATTTTTTTATAAAATTCTTAAAACTTTTTATTAATATTAATTTGAATTGCAAATTTCATTTATTTATTATAAACATAATAAAAAAATTCAAAGGACATAAAAGAGGCGATATTTTCTAAAAAAAAACTATTTTTTATTTATATAAGGGTCGTTTTATAATAATAAAAAAATAATAATAATAGTAAGAATAATAATAATGGTAATAGTAATAGTAATAGTAATAATAATAAAAATGGGAAAGAGGCAAAAAAAAAGAAAAGAGAGAAAGAGAGATAAAAGAAAAAAATAAAGAAGTTATAAGGCCCGAGATGCGACACGCGATTCCCGACCGCAATCACGAAAGTTTCGTTTGAAAATAACATTTTCTTTGAAAACCCCGAAGAAACTCCATTGGGGGAAGAATATTTTCGACAAACAGTTCCTCTTCCTTCTCTTTCTGCAATCAGACTACGCGGGTAACTTTTCTAATACACTTATATAGACAAGTGTAATGATATCTTTTAAAATAATTCAATTGGCTCACGTACAAAAATTTTACTATTTGTTTACCCTTTATTCTAGTTACAGCTCAAATTTCTTCAAGTGTTATAGTGTCAATTATTATTATTATTATTATTATTATATTATTATGTTATTACGATAATACACTGAAAAAATAATTATTTGAATCAAATAATTTTTTATTGATTTAAATAAATATAGGATAGAAAACTTCACAGAGAAAAGTGAGTGTTGTTTTTGTTGCGGCCAATTTCTTAATGGGGTAATTATGATGAGACTAAAAATTCAAATTTACCTTTGTTGGGTAGAGATGGGTTGTGACGCATCACTGAAAGCTTCTGATGTAAATCACGTATTTATTTACGACAAAAACTATAGCACACCAGTAAATTACAAGATTTATCTTGACAATTGTCGAAAATACGTTTAATATAAATATGTGTGAGGTTATATGTGTATAATAAAATAACTAAAATACTGTTATAAAAAAATTAAATTTTAAAAATTATAAAGAAATATTAAGAATAAATAAATTTATTCTTTTAATAAATTTATTGAAAAGATCTCAAGTTAATCTTACAACATTTCTTCATTTAGTACTATTATCATATGAATTCTTCAATTTCAGAGAACTATTGTGATTTTTAATTTTTTTGAAACAATCCTTAGAGTTAGACACAACGAATCAAACAGTTTTCATAATTTTTTTTAATTCTCATATTTTTCCTATAATTTGTTATACAAAGATATAAATAAATTAGTTTACAAATGAAAAAATTCGTATATGTTACCTGAATATATATTTCTAAAGTAATATTAAGTAACATTAAATGAAAATTGTAGTCTTAATAATGTGAAAAATGATACAATTTGAATAAATTTATATTTTTTTAAACAAGAAGTATTGTTGCGATTGCGAATATGAGGTAACGCTTTTTCGACATACATATTATTGCTTTTCATTATGCGTGTATACTGAAAAACGAAAATCCTCTTCAAACGAAAAATGAAACCTATAAAACAATGAAAATAGAAAACATTCATTTACATTAAAACATTTTTAAACGCAATAATTTTTCTTCATATAAGAATTATTTTTCATCTTCCATTGAAAACAAATCTTCTGAAATTACTATTTATGTTCTTTGTTAAAACTGTTTTTTAATACATAATTTGGAAATAATTATAAATAAACAAATTCTGGAAATAAAAGTCCAGAACGGTTGTGTTGTGTCCATAATTATTTATAATTCGTTAGTAAAAATTGTTAATTTCTATTTTTAAAGATGGTAAAAGAATTTTACATAAATATTTAATTACTGACTGAAATTTTTTTTTAACATTTACAAAAATGGTAATTAAAGATTTTTACCTATAAATTGTACTTAAATAAGGACACGATACAAACATTCTGGGCCTTTTCATTTCCATATTATATATTTTAAAATTACCTTTCAGTGTAAAATAATTCTCCTTTAAATAAAACCAGACTCGAATCGTTTTATTCCGTTAATATATATAATATATATAATATATATATAAATTTATTCAAATTGTATCATTTTTTTCATTATTAAGACTACAATTTTCATTTATTGTTACTTAATATTACTTTAGAAATATATGTACTTTTTATATTTGAAATTATTAAAAAAATAAAAATCGATTTTTTCGGAAATAAGGATCCTTTTAACTGTTCAGGTCACATATACGAATTTTTTCACTTATAAGCTAATTTATTTATATCCTTGTATAACAAATTACATTTAAAACAAGATGGGGGTCCCTTTTTATAAAAGAAGTTTATGTTCATTTCATGAACATTTTGCTTCCTCATTGCGCAAAGCAAAAGATTTGCTTCCTCTTGGAGGAAGCAATAAATTAATAATTTATATACATATTATTTTTAAAATATGATAAATGATTTCAAAAAATATTTATATTTCAAAAACTTTTTTAACTAAAATATGAATTTTTGAATTTTGAATTTTTTAATTTATTCTTTAAATTTCAATGAAATATAAACTTTATATATACCAATCGATTCGTCTTGATATGAGGAATACGATTTTACTATGTATTGCCTTTAATTTTGCTTTCAATAAATTTTTTCGATTAAAATCGATTTTTTTGAAAAAATGCCAAAAAAAATTTTTTTTTGTGGGTATTTTCTAAAATCATTGTGTCCATTTTGAGATATTGATGTGACAAATATACGTACCAAATTTTAGCCAAATCCGTTAAAACGTATTAAAGTTATCATGTTCACAAAAAAATGGATCCACACACACACACATACACACACACACACACACACACATACATACATCCGGACAATTGATCAGGGACTTATATATGACATTTATAAATAGAAAAAAATTTGTTTGGTGCATTTCTAATAATTTCATAATTTGAAGGACTACATAGCTTCCTCCAGAGGAAGCAAAAATTATGAAAACTGCTTGATTCGTTGTGTCTAACCTTGAGGAGTGTATAATAAAAAGGACGAATGCAATTATTTAATTGTTATTAATAACAGTATTTTACTCATCTTATTATACACTCATAACCTCACACATATTTAAATGAAAAGTATTATTGACAGTTGTCAACATAAATCTAATGATTTAACAGAATTCTACAGTTTTTGACTTAAATAAATACGTGATTTATACATTAGAAGCTTTCAGTGACGTTTCACAACTTATCTCTAATAGGGTAAAAAAAATTTCTCCTAAAATAGGTATAGAATTGAAATTTTCTCCTATTTCCAGTGTTAAAATGACACCTTTGGGCTAAAGTTTGTTGCAGGTTATTTTAACACTGAATTCAGTGTCAAAATAACACTCACTTTTCTCTGTGTTCATCGGTTGTAGGTACTTTTAGATTAATGTTGGTATTATTGAATTTCCTAAAGTTACTATGGTTGATTTCCATTGTCCCCACTCGTTATTTGTCATATTTTCGTTAACTACTGCACCCTGCTCTAGTGAATATTTAGTGATTTTATAGTATCTTCTAATTGAAAATGAAAATTTAGTAACTTTATTGTTAAAAATTAAAAGATACTATAAAATCACTAAATATTCACTAGAGCAGGGAGCAGTAGTTGACGAGAATATGACAAATGGCGAGTGGGGACAATGGAAACCAACACTATTTATTATATAGGGACATTTATAGAATTTTGACATAAGTTGGCAACACTGTGTTTAGTTTGGTAATTTAAAGCTACTGTCGCATTATAATTTTTATGGTTACTTTCCATTGTTCCCAATCGCCAAAATGCCCACTCGACATTTGTCATAATTCTCGTCAACTACCGCGCTCTGCTCTAGTAAAAATTTAGTAACTTTATAGTAACTTTTTATTTTAACAATAAAGTCACTAAATTTTTACTAGAGCAGGGTGCGGTAGTTGACGAGAATTATGACAAATGTCGAGTTGGCATTTTGGCGATTGGGAACAATGGAAAGCAACCATAAAAATTATAATGCGACCGCTTTAAATTACCAAACTAAACACATTGTTGCCAACTTATGTCAAAATTCTATAAATGTCCCTATATAATAAATAGGGTTGGTTTCTTTTGTCCCCACTCGACATTTGTCATAATTCTCGTTAACTACCGCGCCCTGCTCTAGTAAAAATTTAGTAACTTTATAGTAACTTTTAATTTTAACAATAAAGTCACTAAATTTTTACTAGAGCAGGGTGCGGTAGTTAACGACAATTATGACAAATGGCGAGTGAGGTCAATGAAATAGTGAATAAATTTATTCCAAAAAAAAATAAATTATCACACGATATTTATTTTGATTCTATTAAATTAGTGAGTAAATAATAATTTTTTTGTTACATAAATAAATTCTAAGTTATAAATTCTATAAAGATTAAAATGCCACGATTTATTAATACATTCCTTACTGTGCTAGTTTTTAATTATTTATTCTCTACAGTAGTTAATTATTTAATTTCGCAATATTATAAATTAACTACATTATCGTCCTCGATTGAGAAATAAAATTAATAATTTATTATTAAATATAATAAACTTTAATTATTTATAACAATTTTTCAAATAGTGACCAAAACTGGTAACTTCTACCCTAGTAATAAGTTTTTTTTTTTTAGAAAGTATTTACAAAAAACCCCTTACATATTAAATTAAAATAATTTTTTGTAAGAAAAATTACGCCAGTAAATTTTTTTAGAATAATTTTTGAAACACTTGATAAGTGTAAAAGAAAATTTTTCAACATTCAGCAAATATATAAATATAGAGCACACATATGTAAGTTGCAAAAATCGATTTCAAGTTGAATTTGACGAGGATTTTTATGGCTATTTCACTATTCACGAGTATATAACGAAAAGAACCCGATTTTCTTTTTTTGTTTTTTTTTTCTTTTTCTTTTTGTGCGGTACTCTTGACTTCACGAGTCGCTTAACTATCTGCGGCTCCTTCAGGATCAATATTGCTATACAATGCTGTTTCTCTCTTTTATATTTCAATTCCTGCAATAGAAAATTTATTGCCCAGTGTACGATATTTTTTATTTAAAAAAAAATAATTTTATTTATAATTTTATAACAATATATATAATATACGAAATTAAGTATATACACGGAAAAAAATCTTTATCTGTAACAGCGATATATTTCTCTAGAATAGCGAAAACTTTCGCTGTTTTAGTAAAACATATCGCTGTTCCAGAGAAACTTATCGTTTATTTATTTTTTTTATTTATTTTCGCATTATCATTATATTATAATTATAATAATTTTCATTATTATTCTATTATTATTATTATTATTATTATTATTAAGTTATAACTTAATACTGTTTTTTGTTATGTGCTTTTATTGGAATGTAGAATTATGGCGCGGATATAAATTCCAATTTGTATTTTAAAGTCATTTGATGCGATTCACGGGACTTGTTTGTTAATGAAATCCTCATTTTACGTAGACAATAAAGAATGTGATTTTCATCCAGTCGTTAAATGGCTTAAAGACCCTCTTTCGTATTACATTAAAGGAGTTTCGTGTCGCGTTTTATATACTGGTGTAAAATACTCTATTATAATGAAAATGGAAAACATTATGTTTTCCTTCTTATATTTATATAATATAAGTTTTTTCTACTAAAATTATCATAAAATGTTTTTGGTAAAAAAAAAGAACTTCGATTTAATAATAATAAAAATTATCAGTTTTATTTAAATTTATTTGATTATATAAATAATAAATCTCTGCGGAGCAATCAATAAATTATAATGTATAAATAAAATATAAATAATAAATTAAATAATGAATAAGTGATTAAATAAATAATAAATAGGGGTCGGTCCCATCAACTTAATAAATAAAAAAAAGTTCGAAATTTACTATTACTAACTAATATATTTTAAAAAAAGTGTTTGACTTTTTTTATATATATATATGTATATATATAAGAAAGTCAAGAAAGGATTCTTCTGGAAAGTGTCAATCGTTGTAGCATAAAAAAAAGAGAAAAAAAAATTACGTGAGCACTCCAAGA